TATTCAGCTTTACTTTTTCATTACCCTGTAATGAGGAAGTGTCAGAATGTACAGTGCTCATTCAGAACATGCTGCAGTAAATGGGGTGTTGATTTTAAAAATATTAAAAATATGTCAGTGATAGAAATACAAGTTGACCGTTTAATCAGTTATAAATTTGAAAAAAAAAAAACTATCAAAATCATCTAATTAAAATGATGTGTTAAAGGCTAGAAAAAATGTGCTTCTCTGTCTGATCAGGATTGAGTGGATGTTTCAAAGACAGCGATGTAGCCACAGCAGCGTAAACACCTACATGATCAAATGGTGGGCTTTCTTTTGTTTTTGTAAGGTATTTTCTGGCAGCAATTAGACTTTGAATCTGTGTGAAATATTGAATTTTGGAAGTAATTATAACATGGCATCTTTACTTTCTTACAAAATCTCAGCGTCAGCTTTGTAGCGCATGCTTATAGCACATGCTTGTAACACATGCTCAGTGTTTGTCTTGAAGCATATGACATCAAATATTATGAGGTATTATTACCCCATAAAGCGCTGACATGCTCGTGGGAATTTTAGAACTTTTTTGTGTCTTGCATGGATGGAGATATTTCCAAAAATGCTGTTGGTGTGTGTGTGTTTTTTAATCTAACAACAGAAAAGTGATGGGGATATTCTGATGCTGTATCAGGTTAACTAAATATATCAGGGCTCTGACGGCTGGACCATGTGCTGAAAAGTCAAAGGTGAAATATTGTCTCACTGAAACTCCAATGAGGATTAAGGAGTTTACCAGAAATAGATAGATGTACGCATGAAGGAGCTGACCTTTGAACAGTACAGAGGTGGACGCACGTGTTTTAATGCTGAGCTAAAATATTGGTTGTTTGTCAGGGGTGGGAACCTCTAGGCATCTCACAATTTGATCAAATTTCGATTCAGGGCCCCACGATGCAGTTATAAAATAAATCACGAAGCATCTCGATATATCTTGTTCTTAAATATAACCTACACTGTGATTTTCTTCCTGTGTTTGTCGTTAATCAGGGTTTGGACAGATCCTGGAAAACCGGGATAATCATAGAAAATAGTGCAGTACTGAAATGTCCTTGAAAAATGTTGTCAAAATGCTTGAAAAGCCACAGAAAGAGGAACAAACAGTTTGAACTGAAGAAAAGCACAGAAATCAATAGTTCTAATAAGAACTTTTACTGATAGTTTTTAGGAATATCGCTGCTTACAACCACACCAGCAAACTGCAACTCAACTTCAGGAGCCAGTGGATTAGCACCCAGCAGTAGCACTCTGAGCTCATGTTGTTGAGGGATACTGCTAGCATTTCAACAACACTATCAATGAGCCTCATTCACCAGTTTCTTCTTAATTTTTTTCTTAAATTTATTCTTGAGAAGAAATTTCTTCTGAAGAACGGTTGGTGAATGAGGCTCAATGTCTTTCTAGGTGATGCTATTACGCTATTACGTGATAAATATTTTCATCCTGTAGCAGCCCTGCTATAGCTAGCAGTCCACCTTAAATGTAGGAATAAAATGATATGTTAGTTTAGTTTATGTTAGCTACCCTAACTATGATTTTGGGACTTTTATTTTCTTGTACACTAAAACATTCTGACCTATTTCTGATTGCAAATGTGTGAATTGGTAAGAACTTCCATTTTATTCCTCCTCCAAGCCAAGCTCTGCCAAAGTATACTACTTTACTAAGTTTCAGCCTGCTCGCGAGTTCATTTAGCAGAGTGGGAAAACAGAGCATATGTAAAAGTTGTGAATTGATTCAGAATCAATCACAATGCATTTGAGAATCACACTCATTCAGAAAAACCTACCATGCTGGAGCACTGTAGCCCATGCAATACTTATCAACCTCTGCCCCATCCATAAATTGAAAGGGACCACCATAGGAACCCCTGCTTACCAAAACCCAAACAATATGTGTTCAGTGGCGGTCCATTGGTGGTCCCTTTCCATTGATAAACGAGATAGAGGGGGGCAGGTAAGTAGTGTAACAACAGATGAGCTACAGTCAGCAATTATAAATCTGAAAAGTATGGAAGGCATTTCTGGTGCAAGGTGGGTTTACCTAGTAAGAAACTGGCAACTCAGTGTAGATGCGCAGCCCTTATTACCACACACACATTCAGTTGACAAGGGGTTACATTCTTGTAATTCATTTCGTTGCATACCAGCTCGTCTCTGTGTTTCTGCTGTAAAATTATTACCATTTTGTGGCAGTTGAGTAAACGTTCAACCTTTTACAAACTCGCACATCCAGCCGCTTTTGGGTTCAATCATTGATCCAGGGAAAACAGACAGGAAAACACCTTAATATCTTAACTGCGCAGAAAAAGTCACATGATTTACTGTTAGCGTTTCCTACTCACTCACAGCAGCTGGTAAAGTTAACTTTATTGGACGCTATGATCTTCACAGCATCTTTAAGATGATTGCTTTATGGTGGTTACTCGTGGAATGGAAAGATTTGTTCACACAAATACACATACACCATTTCTGTGTGCAGTTTCAGTGGTCACTTTTTCCCCAGAGTCTCTAAACTACTGCTTCATGTAAAGAGCAATACTTCCTCACTCTCTTAGTGGCTGTTTTCAGCAGCATGCTGGGTTTATTCGTTTATTCTACACATCAGAGTTTTGCTGTTTTTGAGGGATTCTGCTGCTTTTTTTTTTTCCTAATTTCTGTGTCTTTAAATGGTTAAGATGTAAACAAAGCCATTCAGAGCCATGCTCTGTTGTAGAAATACAGGTTCAGAATTCTTCACAGTGGTGATGATGGGAACCAAATGTCTGAAGCATTTAATGCCTGTAAAAACTCCCTCACAGAAAGTTATTGCATGAAATGGTTATGAATATACTACCTGATGCTTGAGACATTGTTTTAGGATTTTTAAGACAAGGTTTTAACCTAAAACATATTTTTTAAAAGCCAATCATGCTGAAGAGGTCTATGCAGGGCATGCATTTACCACTTTTTTACGATCATCAACATTACATATAAAGCTCAGAGGGCATGTGTAGGTTCACTGGCGGTTAGATTTGGCTATATTTGTGTTGCAGGTGTTGTGACTCTTGGTTCCTATCACCACCACTGTCAAGAAACGTTTTGTTGGTAACTTTTTGTACAATGAAGCATTTCACACCAAACCTGGTTCCTCAAAGGCTACGTTTACACTGCAGGTAATAGTGGCCCAAATCTAATTTTCTCACCAAATCCGATTTTTTTTTGTTTGGCTGTTCACATTATCTTTTAAATGTGACCTGTATGCGACATCAGTCTGAACAGATCAGCTCCTAAACCGACCCGCATGCACAAAAGAACAATGCTTCACATGGCGGCTCGTCCAGAGGTAAACAGTCATGACGGCCAGTGAACGCCAGTCACTCCTGGAGCTTTCAGTTTCATCTTCGCCAGCATCACATGAGCGAGTTTAAAGTTCCAGTGGTTGACAGCTGGACTCATCACCCAGAATGTGTTCAAGTTTGCCGTAAAAAGGGCTCGTTATTCGGCCACGGCCACTTCTGTGGTTCATGTCCTCGGATTCTTTAAACTGTTCTCTGACTCTGCAGCCTCGGGCTCCTCCGGCTGCGTTCGGCCGTTCCGTTCGAAACCTCTTCGAGCACGGAGCGGTTTGATGAGTCTCTTCTAATGTTTTAGTACAGAAACATCAGCCTAAATGTTTATGAGTCTCAGCAGCGCAAAATTATAACAAATGTCGACGAATGAGTTGGACTGACGTAAAAGTCGCATGAATTCCGATCTGGCTGTTCAGACTGAGTCGCATTGCCGCAGATGGGATACGGATCAGATTTCCGTACCACATATGAAAACTTCTCTCACATCGGAATTGAAAATGACAGATTCAGTGCGTTTTTTGCTGCTCACACTGACACACAGATGACACATTGGTGTCACATTTGAAGAAAAGGTTTGGATTTGGGCCACTTTTACCTGCTGTGTAAACATAGCCTAAGTGTCTTTCCTGGTATGAAGAGCAGGTTTTGCCTAAATAATGATTTAACTGTTTCTTTTCCAAACTGTTGTTAGAAGCACATATTGACACTCATTTAGCTGAGAGGTGGTTAAAATGGGTTAGAAATTTGCCAGCTGGTGGTGGTAGGAACCAGGGGTCATGATTACTACATGACTTTATTTAATATCCAAAACTGCCACTGGTAGATTTCCATACTTTTTATGTTTTAATACTTACTTTAATACTCACTATTGATAAGTGTGAAATAGTGGTAAATCTGATGTTTTCACATCAAGCCACTTTAAATGACTTTGTTTACTTTGTTTAACAATTTAATTACGCAGAAATTTTAGAAAAGTCAGTGGAATGTCCTTTTAATCACCGAAAAAGGTTTGAGTGCTCATGAGTGCAGACATATCAAGTGAATAAAATGCATAGGCTTTGCTATTTTTCTCAATCTAGCATGGCTGTGAATATTTGAAGGGTTTTGTTCCAAAATGCATTATGAAATCTAAAAAAAAATGAATTGTGAATCTGTTTCTGTAAATTAACATCAGCCATTTCTTTTTTTTTAACATGTGTTTTTGACAGTGTTCATTAGCTGCTAATCTTTTCATATACTCATTATATTCAAATTTATTACAAATGAATATGCAACATTTTGGGATGGAAACTCTTTATATGCACATAGAACAAGATTTTCCTGTACATCAATCTGCTTAAACTGACAAAATGTGGGGTGAATTTATATTTAAAACTTTTTGAAAAGATAGATGTGCCCAAACTTTTGGTGAGCAGTGTGTATGTCAAAAAACTAGCTTTGCACAGTACTTGAAATTCGCTTTTGTCAGACAAGTCACAGAAATTGCAATATGTAACAAGACAATCAACTTAAACCCTGCAGCCTTGATATCAAAATGCAGCGTGATGCTGCTGTAGTTGTCCGCCAAAAGTTGTATTATTATTTTTTGCTTGTTTGTTTTTATTTATATAAATAAATCTTCTCATTTCAGGTGCCAGAAATCATCAGCACTATCAGGCAGGCCAGTAAAAGCTCTGCCCGCCTGGAGGAGACACCCACAGCCAAGTCTACTGACAGTTACCAGGACAGCAGTCGCCATGACGCCCCCTGCTCCATGCCGGCCGGCGCTGACGCGGCGACAGCCTTCGCTAAAAAGTTCGAGGTGCTTTTCTGTGGGAGGGTGGTGGTGGCCCATAAGAACGCGCCTCCGGCCCTGATAGACGAGTGCATAGAGAAGTTCGGCCGAGCCAGCGTGACAGGCTCACTGGCCGCAGGCATCAGACGGGCTTTCTCACTCACGCAGGTGAGCATCAGACTTTCCTGAGCAAGACCCTCAGGCAGCTTTCAGACTGTTCGACCAGAGTTGCGTACTTGTGAGCATATCATTAACACCAGCATTATTAATTAGCCGTTAGCAGTAGCATTCATAAACCATAACCATTGATTCCTTTCACATCTGTGAATTTACTTGCGCACCAATAATATGACCATTATCTGACTTCGGCAGTTACCTGATTATGTGAAGTTGTCGAGTAAATAGAATGTTCTGATTTCTTAGATCAGATTTATTGGATGTCAAGAAGTTTCTCTGTTTCTTCAGTGTGTGTCTACTGTTTATGTAAGTTTCTCCATTGTCACATTGTCGGGACCAAGGGCTATCCCCTTCAACCCCAGGCCTCCAACATAATATTATGAATAAAAAAGAAATCTTTTAATACCAGCTAAACACTTAGACTTAGAACAGTTATTAGTGTAAGTTCTCAAAAGATGAAAAGAAGGAAAGAGTCTTCAGACGCTGAGTTTGTGGAAAGAGGGAAAAAGGCTTTTTCTTTATTACAGCATCAAGTGGCACAGGGTCTCGAGAGACCCAGCCGTGCAAACAGTGTTCTAAACAGTTTATATACCATCTGGGGTGATTTGATATCCCCCCACCTTACATCTCAAATTTTGATATTAACTTATTCTCTAATAGGTGCATCTTATTGTCCATCAATTTGGTCATCGCATGTTGAGCTCACTCCTAAAAACTGGTTTCACCCAGTTTTTACCAGTCTGCTTTACCTTTCAAGGTCAACTTGCCCCTCTCTTCACTGGGTCAGTAGGTTTACACAGGCCTGTCTGTGAACCCAGAGGCTTTCCAGTGTGTAGAATCTCCTATGCAGACAGACTAAGGCCGACCCTTTGTGAGAGAATTAATATTCTCTGTTGGCCAATATTACCTATTTGGTTATTGATTACAATATCTAATCTATTGATTACTGATTAAGGGAATATTTATTCAAAATCTCCGTCAACATGCTGCACTTTTACGAGTTTATAGAAGAGTTGCTGTGTATTTAGAAAGAAATCGGACTATTGAGTAGAATCTTTTCTCAGATAAAAAAAATTGCCAAAATCCTATTTTCTGCAGTTAAAGTACTCAGCTTTATATGTGAAACATTTTGCAGTAGACTTTGTCGCTAAACAGTTTTACACAAATCCAGCTCTTCAGGTGCTTTATGAGCAAGTTTAAAGCAATAATTTGCAATGTTGGCTGATCGACTACGTTTGCGATAAGCAGAGAACTGTAAATTTGGTTCTTGATGATTTTTTTGGTTTAATTTCTGGTTTAAAACCTAACATTTTAAAAAATGCAAAAGCAAATTGATGTGCATCCTAAATGAAGCATGCAAGCCTGTTCAGGTGCTCTAATTGTGTCATTCTGTGCTGCAGGTGATGAACGGAGGGAGCGAAGTTGGGGAGGCAGGAGGGAAGAAGCCTCTGTTTTTCCGGAGGGACCCCAGTTTCCCCTGTCTGCAGGCGCTAGATGAGAACGGCCTCTCTCCTGAGCTGCAGCGCAGATCTGCTAACGGAGCTGCTGGAGTCCAGCCTACAAGCCTGCAGGAAAACAGGACCATGCTGTTTACAGTGAGTGCATACAGACATACAGTACTGTTTAAAATTTTAATTCAAAAATATTTTTTTTCTTGAACAGCTTAATATAATATAAACATATAGAAGACTGTTATCCAATGACAAAAAAATTGAAGAAACAAAAAATCTGAATGAATTACACTGTAGCCAGTATTTGTGCGGGACAGGATTTGGCTAAGAGAAAAAATGAGGGGGGTGTCTTACACTTCTTTATCCAAGTTGCTCAAAACTGAAGAACAGCTGATAAAAGTGCGACCTTGGGAACATTTTATACCCTTGTTGTAATGTCAGCATTCATCACACTATAAAAAATGATGACTTGGCAAGTGAAATCATCTTAAATGTAGCCATCATACATTTTTATATGTATGTAATGTTGCTCATTTTGAGATTACTGAAATTTTATTCAACTTCTTTCCATTTCTTCACTTTTTTCTTTTTTAAGTTCCTTCTTTTCATAAACTATAGCCACAATTGACAAAAACATGGTTGCCGGATGCCAAACTGCGTACAAATTAAGAGTACAGCACAAGTTAATGTTCTGGGTTTGCCCACCTGACAGGATCCACCCTAAGATATATATAAAATGAAATTGAAATAAAACAGACTTAAACTGATGAATAAAGGTTGGTATTAAAGACCTTTCCAACATTAAGTAGTGGTATAAGTTAGCCATTTCCCCCAGTTCTTTTTAACAGTATTTTTTTTAATCTTAGAGCAGAGGTGAGGTTTTCCATTTCATAAATTTCATAAACAATCTTTTCCCACTGTTTAGCTGTAGGGCGGATCTGGCTGGAGCTATTTACCATTGATTGCCTTCTTGCAGTTGGCTAAAAGCACCTGTAGCAAATATCTACCCCTCCTACCAGACCATCTGGGATGTTGCCCGAGTATAACACTGAACAAGTCTTGGGCATACCCAAGTGTTAAATATTGTTAATGTGAAACCCAACCTGTTCCCAGTAATTTTGAATTTTGGTACAGCCCCAAGAGTCTGACCCATATCAGTGGAACCACAGTGTCTCCAGCAAGGTTGTGGTATACCAAGCTGCATCGATTTAACTTTAGGTGTAATAAAAAATTGAATTGGGTTTTTCAAGCAAAATTCACGCCACAATTCCAAACTTGTGGTTGTAATTTGTGTTTTCCACATGCTCCCCAGGCCTCAGCGGATATATTAGCATTAAGCTCTTGTCCCCAGACGTCCCTGATATATTTACTTGACTCAATTTTTGAATTCATTATTCCTTGATATAATATTGAGACTGTTTTATTAATGCCCTTAGGGTATGCCTGTACTACACAATGGGGTATAGGGTTCTCTTCCATTTAAGAATCAGAATCTTTAATCTCTTCTAAGTAGTAGTGGTGATGTAAGTATCTGAAAAAATCTTGGTTTGCCAAGCCATAATTGTCTTTGAAAAGATAACAAGTCTTGAAAAGATAAAGCCCCCTTTTTTATCAGTGTACAATAGGCAGTTCAACTTATTTCTTGACGTTTTGACTTCTTAAGTAATGTTATCTAGTGAAATTGTCTTTTCTGATTTTTGGCTGAAAATTGCAGTTGAATATTCTTAGAACATTCTTACAGCAGTCCCTAAAAGAGCTCTTCATACCAAGGAAGACACTTTAATGAACATGAAACTGGGTGTTGAAGAGTGCATTGAAGAATTTTAATGCTAAATATACCTATTGGATTAGCATATAGCTTCTTTATTTTAACAAAACCTTTGCAGGTATGGGGATGACTTAAGTCATGATGAAAATTTTATAAAGAAAATTCATAAAGGAAATTCAAAGAAGGCCCAAGTGTTTGATAGGCAGTACACACCTCTTTAATGCAGTTCTTTTTTTTTTTTTAGTTTGTCCTGTACTGTGCTTTATTGTTGATATGAACTTACCATTGAGCAGCTATAGACCTTTCTCCTCAGTTCCTGTTTGTGTCCCAGAGATCTTGGCCAGATTCTCTCCAGACACAACTTGGCCTTTTCATGCTGATCTACAACCTGCCCACATCATGTCCCTAGCCATTAACCTCATTGAGGAGAACCAGAACACTGGTGTGTTTGATCGTTATTGAGAGGCCCATTTTATTTTCTGTCTCTGCACCATTAGAAAATGCCATCTGCCATTGTGTGAACATTTCATGACAAAATGATCAGTAAAAATCATTTTGTTGCTTCAGAACATGTCCAGATATGGTTATGATGTGCATAGTCTCACATTGTGACGTTTTGTGTTGTAAAGTGTATTTAGAATTTACAGTACATGTGGAGTGGGAGGATTGTCCAGCCTTTGACACTGCTATGACGTTCTAGCTCTGGAAAACACATTGAGCATTTCTAATGATCACATCTGTACTTACAGATGTTTACTGCATCCACTGAAATTGCTTTACCCCACATAATAATGAACCATAAACTCTGTTCTGCTCTGTCCATTTTTAGACTGGCCAACTCACTCCTCACAAGATGAGTTCACTTAAAACAGCCAACCTAATTAAACTCAGCAATCACACAATCACGGGAAGGCCTTACAGTTCCCTTCAGACTTCAGACCATACAGAGAACCCTGAAACAGAGAATAAATTGTAATAAGGTAAAATACAGCTCTTGTACATTGAAATGGTGAACACACTCTAACCTACATGAACTAATAGTAGGAAATGCTATTCAGAGGCAAAAAGCAAAGCTTTATAATATGACTGACCACTGAGCAATAAGAAACAATAATAAATATACCAACGGACAAACCCATACAAGCACAAGCATGAGAAAATCTAGCTTCTCCCTTCCTTTACTCAGATAAAACCTGTAATTCAAATGTTGATTTCCATGTTTTTGGCAAAATTTCAACAAATAAGCCTGCCCACCTCTTGTAATTAGGCCTAGAGGTGGGCAATTTGAGTACAATTTATCGTATAAATTGTATTGTCATGAAAACAGTACAGTTTTCTGAGTGTATCGTGGATATCGTCAGTACTTAAAGAACACTGGCCACCTGCATGTTTGTTTACAAATTGAGCACGATAAGTCCGGTTTAAGCGCAGTACAGTTTGGTTAATGTTGAATAAAAATTATTGGAACCAGTTTTTGATAGCAAATTTAACTGTAACAGTACAAGTGCACTAGTCAAATATCGTGTCATATATCTATTATGTTTTTGCCATTTCACCTCCTCCTAGTGAGGATGACATTTTATTGTTTTAAAAATGAGGTTATTGATGCTAAGCCCCTGTGTGTGTGTGTGTGTGTGTGTGTGTACACAATATTAACACACTATTTTTTTGAAAACTTCTTGTTTTGAAAGTTGCTGCGTTTGTGTTTCTTCTCTTTAAAAGGTGAACACAAAAGCTTGCATGCTAATAGCTCCAGTTGCGATTAAAGATGTAACTGAGGGCGATGTCAATTTTTAACTGATGATGTTGGCAATTTTTTCATTGACATCAGTTTTCCTACAAAATAGTAAATGGGCTAAAATGGGCTTAGCGAAAATGTCAAAGCAAACATCTGTTGTTATGTTACTTCAGTGAGTCAAAGGTAAGACATCAGTGGACCATAAACATTTTTATGTCTGACGTGACAGTATGTTTTTGGCTTTGATGGTTAGGTTTAGGTTTTCAAGTTTGCTTTGTAGTTTTTCCTCATCTTTGCACACCTCAGCTGTCTGATTTAATCAGTCATGTTAGCTTCTTTGGGTCCACCTGCTACTAAGGCTTTAGCCTAGGATGTTTAGGGTTTTAAGGACATCTCAGCTGTTCAACTTATAACATACTTTATAGTCTTTATAGTTAAGGGTGCTGCAGTGTTTGTTGTTATATGTGAAACTAAGTGTTCTGGTTGATTGCCAGAATGTGATAATATTATCACAGGTAGGAAGCATTGTAATAAGCAGGGTGATGACTGCATGGCTGTCAGGAATAGGCTACAACCTGATATTGTAACACTGTAGGACGCTGTATCTAGCAAATTAGCTGACCCGTTTTTTCACAGGCCTACCTGAAAATGTATTTCTGCCTACACCACTGATGTGCCTTAAAATGAAATTTTCAATGAAAAATCAAATTCAGATGATTCCCCCTTACCTTAAACATACACTCAATGCCAAAAATTTGGTGTTAAGACCACAGAAAGCTTAATATTTTGCTAATTTAGTTTTGGCGCAGTTTTTTGCATGGTAGGGTAGTCAATCGATTAGGTTTTACTGGGGCTATGAAGCCAATCTAGCTAAAAAGTAATGGTAGCTAATACAGCACCAGTTAGCATCTCTCTCTCTCTCTCTCTCTCTCTCTCTCTCTCTCTCTCTCTCTCTCTCTCTCTCTTTATCTCCGTCTATCTCCCTGTCTATCTCCCTTTATCTCTCTTTCAGTCGTTGGGGCTGGAAACCAGAGATGTTTTGTTGCTTTCTTTATTTGTCTTCTCTGTCCCCGACACCCCGCCTCCTTTGCTGGAATGTGGGATAGCGTGACAGTAGGTGAATTCCTCCTTGTGTGTCAGGCTAAAGGACAACTTCTAAAGCTATTGGCACACCGACCCAGCATTCTCCAGCAGACACAAACTTTCTAATGTTGACAGCTGCCGTTTGAACATTCAGTAAAAGAAACTAGCGCCAATGTTAAGTGGAACACAGTGATTAAATTAAATCCCCATTCTAATTTTATGTGGGGAACATTCCGGAGGCTTCTGAGTGACCACACACATACGGCACACCAGCCTAGGATTTGGGTGTGTGTTGGAGTTTGGTGGACATGAGTATTTGAAGCACATTTAGAAATTCCAGTCACACTGCATAACCTGAAAAGTAACAGGATGTTCTAGAGAAATGGTCCACAAGTGAAGCTGCAGACACAGCAAGTACAGCTGGTACAGCAAGTGCAGTTGTTTGCATCACCTTGCAAAATGGTCGTGACCGAGGGTGGTCCGGAAGATCGCCAGTGAAAAAAATCCTCCATGTGGGGCCATTAGCAAGCTAACAGCTCTATATGACAGAGAAAGTGATTCCAATGGGGAAAAATAACCTGAATATTTTCTTATCAGTGGGTTATGGGGAGTTCGGCGAAGGTGGAAACATGTCAAACCCAATTTTTCTTTTTTTTATCGATAAACCAAAACCTTTGTGACAACAGTTTGTAAACACATTTTAATTTGATAGCTTGTAATTTGCACAGAAAGTCGATGGAAACATAGCTGTTTGTGATGTCACGTTAAAGTAGAAATATCAGATCGATATCAGTATTGTCCAATACTCAAAGTTTTAATATCGAGCTGGTAAAGACAAAATGTTATTGTGCTATCTGTAACTATCGGCTAAGGCTCGGCATTGGAGAATATTTATCTTCGTTATGATAATTACACCGCAATATGTCACAATATTAATTTCTGAGCATATCGTGGACTTAAAAGCACTTCTCACCTGCTTGCTTGATGAATACGAGTATAATTAGTCCTGTGCAAGTGGAGTTAATACAGTTTTGTGAAATGTTGAATATAGATAATTAGGGTCATAGTTTTTTACGGTATTTATTTTAATTGTGCAATTATTTTGTCAGTTCAAACTTACTAGATGTCAGCAAAAATAATATCCTGACTTATCATGAGATAAGCCATATTTTTTGCCATATTGTCCATCATCTTATAGGCTATTACAGATAATGATTAAAAAAAGGACAAGCCTGAGCAGGTCATGATCAGAAATACATATAGAAAAACATATTGTGACATAATTTGTCCTGATACTGATTCAACATCATATCATATCACCTACCCATTACCCACCCCCATGTCTGAGCTCCAGGATTGCAGGGTTTCTGCTTGTGGGAACAAATATGGAAACAAAGTGTCACTGATAACAATAGGAAGTGTCATTCATTGAGCGGAGATCAGAGGTACTGAAGGGGAAGTGTTAGAGGAGAAGTTACAAATGGTCTAATGATCAAATTCCTCTTTCAAATGCTATTATAGAAGATTGCCTCATATGTACCCCCCTCCCCCTCGATCTTGCCACACAGTCTGTCCAGTATAGGCACAGTGCTGTTCAACATTGTGCTGCTTGTGTCAGATAGGAAGTTGTCAGCTTTTCTATGGGAAGTAAACTTAACATACACTGACCAGCCACTTTTAAGTACACTTACTTTGTCTCTACCTTGTATCTATACTCTTGTTTTATCAGCTTCACTGACCATATAGGTGCACTTGGTAGTCCTACAATTACAGGCTACAGTTCATCTGTTTCTCTGCATACTTTGTTAGCCTCCTTTTACCCTGTTTTTCAGAGGTCAGGATCACCACAGAGCAGGTATTATTTGGGTAGTGGATCATTCTGCACTGCGGTGACACTGACATGGTGGTGTGTTAGTGTGTGTTGTGCTGGTATGAGTAAATTGCACAGAGCAGTCAAAAAAATGAAGTCGCTGTGTCGTATCTCCGTTTTTTGTTTTTCAGTTTTTGACAGTTTGAAAGTACCTGTTGTCCTTTACATTGTTTGTAAATTTCATAATGAATGGACCAAAAGAAACAGCCCAAAATTATCTGGAAAAAAGTCTGGTTCCATTGACTTACGTTAAAAGTAAAGTAGGTTTTTTCCTTCTCCTGTAAAGTTACTATGTTGGAGATACAAGGTTTTCTTCTGACAACAGCAGTATATTTCTGTGCTTTTATAGTTCTGTAGCTCTTTGCTGTTGACACCTTTGGAAAGGACAAAATATATCACTATGGCTAACCTTGCACCACAATTTCATGTTATCTACCCACTCAGTAAGCATCCCGGGATGGGGAACTGTCAAAACGCAGTCACCAAAGCTTTTTAAAATGTCGTTTTGAAGCAACCACTTAGTATTTTGGGCCATTAATGTACTCACACTGTTTGAAAACACTCTGTCCATGCTACATGTAATTCAGCCTCTACAGGCAGCTCTGTTTATGTACAATTTCAAATAAAGCTGTTACAAATAACAGTCTGCACTCCGAGTTACTGAGCAACTATGCTGACAAACTGAGCAGCTCGGCTAACAGTACTGTGAAACAAAAACAGTAGGACAGTCTCTCTACAGCCTATATTACAAAAAAGATCACTGTATTAGCGTTCATACCTCACTATTCTGTTTAGTCAAACAGAGTAAAGTCGCATATACGGGCCTTGGTAGCAAATGTCCACTTGTGTGCCTCTGTTTAGCTGCCTTATGTGTCTTCACCTGTATTGAGGAAGTGGGTGTGATGGTATATTTAAAAACAGGCTAAAATCGCACTGTGTGTTCCTGGCAGGAATCTGCCAAGGCAAAATGTTTAAAGTGACTGACGACTTTGTGTCTGAGCCTCCTTCACTGCGTTTGTCCATTAGCGCGGCAGTATACACTCAGATTACATGGTAGCAGCGGGTATCAGAATGTTGAGCAACCGTGAATTTTTATGAGTATGAGTACAAGTAAATGAGCACGGTATCAGCCTGATACCAGTAACGTTATCGATGTATCTCTTGTTTCTATCCACTTCAAAAGCCAAACACAAAAAAGTTAGGTTGTGGTTTAAAAAAAGGCATCAGTGGATTACTTAAAATGCTCTTTTTAAAATAGTTTTAAATAGGCTATGTTTAGTAAACGTCTACTTCTGTGCCTCATATCAAAGGTAAGATATAGATGGTATATAAACAGTAGGAGTAGCAGTGGCAGTACGCTTTAGCTCAAGATTCTTGACGGTTTAGGTTTTTAAGTTTGCTGGTGTTGTTTTTTTGAGTTTTTGGTGCAGGTTACATCACAGCTGATTTCAACTCAGTTATGTGGTCTTCACAGGGGTTTTGTGTTTTACATGCTTTAGAGCAACAATACTCAAATCCTTTTAGTCTGAGACACCCTTGTTGGATAGTAAGCGCCACTGTGCCCCCCGACCCCCTTCGGTTATTATGTTCACTTAAGGGTCATGGCTGTGAGTTATGATTGGTTGACACGTATTTCATTTTAATAACATTTTTTTCAACATGTATTGCCTTTTTAGAAGCATATTTAATAAAGTGGCAAATGTAAAACTTGCAGCTGCGGCCTCACAGACTGGGAACTGCTACTTTAGGGAAGGTGTCTGTGTGAAGTCTGCGTTCTTGTTGATGTGTACACAGTCTTGTTATTGTAGTGGAGCTTTGGATTGGGTAGGATGATGACTGCACTGCTGTCACCAATAGACTAGATATTGTGGGAAATGGCACAAATATGTATCCCTCAGTTACCTGAAGAAAAATCAGCTAGTTTAAATAGATTTTTGTGTGTTTTGTCCATTCGAACTTGTTCAGAACCTCAGGAACACTAAATGTCATGAAGCATATGTAATGTGAAAATGTCTTGAAATATTATGATGTTACATTTTTGCCATGTTGCCCATACTTAACGTTTGTTTCTTTTCCTGTATGCATAATACTGAATCGTGCCTGAAAGAGAGAGAGAAAGAGAGAGGACTGACTGTAGTTATTTGCTGGATGCACAGAGGAAAGATTTTGTTATTTGTTATTTAGGGATTTTTTGTAGTTTGATTATGGATTACACTTCAGTAATAGACAGACAGAGACAAGGCACAGAGACAGAGATAGACAGACTTAAGGACAGAAAGAGAGACAGAGAGAGGGATGAACAGAGAGACAGGAACAGAAAGGGGTGGATGAGAGGAGACGAGAGAGAGAGAGACATACACAGAGAGAGCAATAAAGAGAGAGAGATAGATAAGGACAGATGAACAGAGAGACACAGATAGGGACAGATAACAGAGACTAAGGGGGAGAGAGACAGAAAGAGAGAGAGAGAAACTCAGTGGTTACATTTAGGTCTTATCTCACTGAGAAAAATGTGTATGATCATCTCTTAGTAGAGAGACTACACACACACACACACACACACACACACACACACACACACACAGACGTTTACAGTCATCCTGCACTCTGATCTGGAGGGCACTTCAGCATGTTGACTTCACTGTCTGACAGGAAGATGAGGTCAGAGCTAAGACAAGTGTTGACATCCCGTAATGCCTTTAATCCACGCATGCAGGGCTCGACTCATGAGGTCATTTGATTTGACCTTACATTAACCCCACCCTTCATCCAATAAGTGAAAAAAAAGTACTGTATTTTTAATATAATATAGCTTATTCAATTATTATTTAAATATACTGTATTTTTTATATAATGTAACTTACTCAATTATTTTCCTTTAAAACTTTTTTTGTCTTTTTGGCCCTCAGTCCACCACAAGCATTGCACTTTGACCCCTAAAACAGAATGTTTTGTAACCCCTGCTCTGTGTTGTGTGTCTTTGTGCAGATCGGGTACTCTCAGATCTTCTTGGTGAGTCCAGACAGTAAGAAAGTGGCTATTGAGAAGAGCTTCAGAGAAATCTCCTTCTGCTCACAGGTTTGACATACACACACTCAGACACAATCTACTATCACTGTAAACCACATTCACACAGAGACGTACTCCACAGGTACAACATAGGGCCCAATCAGTATGTCACTGTTACTGCTTTTAGGGGTGTCCTATTGATAAAGATAAATTTATGGGAACTCATAATTGGCCAGCTTACAACACTAGATCTATGAGGAAGGACGAGGGCTAGAGTGGGTTGTTGATCAGTGTTAATCGTTACAGTACAGTTGCATCAGATAGCATAATTAGAATGTCCAGTCTTTATGATACTTTCGCCCTTATTCATCAAAGTTTTCATTAAAACAAGCTCAGTTTGTCCGCTTTTAATGATGTACAAACTACTCTGCATCTGATTGATTAATTATTAATAGTTGATAATAAATTCTCTCTCTCTTTCTTTCTCTTTAGGGTATAAGGCATGTAGATCATTTTGGTTTTATCTGCAGAGAGTCGGTGGACAGCGGGAGCTGCCAGTTTGTTTGCTATGTGTTTCAGTGCACCAACGAGGCTCTGGTAAGGACGGGTGCAAGAAAGAATAAAGGGATGAATGAACATGTATTAAATGGGATAATTAACTAGCATGGCATTCAGCACATATGTAATACAGTAATACAGTGGCCTCCAGAGTTATTATAATTCATTCTTAAGAATTTGTTGAAAGGTTAGAGAAACTTTAAAGCTCTCTTTATATATGTAATGTTCTTATAGCCTTTTCAGTTTTAATTCTTCTATTTTTATAGCCTCTGCAAATGTGCTACAAATTTGATGATTTCTTTTAAATTAACTTCTCATAATGCGGTGCCCAGGTGGACGAGATTATGCTGACGCTGAAGCAGGCGTTCTCCGTGGCCGCACAGCAGCGGAGCAGCAGGACCCAGAGCCTGCAGTGTGACACCTGCCCCATGCAGCAGCTCCACAGGCTGTGTGATCGGATTGAGGGTTAGAATCTTTCACCCTCAACAACACTCATACATCACACCCAGCCTTGGTCCTAAAGTGTGTCTGAATAGCAAGTCCCACTGAGTACCTGAGCTTTGTAGGTCAGGAAATTGAAAGCTTAGGGTTGAGTAAGACAGTAAGACAGTAGCCAGGTTTCCATCCAGCTGTTGAATTCCAGACAAAAAAATAACAGAAATGTTGCAAAAAATATGTAAATAATCCTGTTTCCATCAGCTTTGTACAAGAACAAAACTCTCTACATCAGAAACACTTTTGTAAAAACACTTCAGAGAAATATGGATCGAGTCTACAGACAGATCTTTAATGTTGAGCAGCTTCTCGTTACTGTTTTGTTTAATTTTATGGCCACATTTTACATTATTACAGCACAGGGAGCAATCGTACCGGCAAATATGACAACTCACGATTTGCAGAAGGCGCCTTCTGTCTATTTACTGTCTCAAATCGCTGTTAAGTACTTTTGTATGTGTTATGTTCTCATATTTTGCATTAGTAAACTGGTGCCTCCTGCTTTCTGTCATGTTTCGTATCTACAACGCAAAAATGAAAACACCTGATCAGTCATACAGGTTTTTTTTTTAATTTAAGATTTCCATCATAATTTATCACCTTTCTCTAGTTTACCAGCAAAAAAGAATTTATCCACCTTAAGCGAGCGTACAAATTTTGATTATTTTATTTAATATTTGATGTTTCCAAGTCATTTTACTCAATGTTTGGTTGAAAACCTAGCTAATAAGTATGTCCAGTTGTGATGTTCAGTGTGCCATTGCAAATTTCATATCGAAGCTTCTGTGTATTTTTTACCATTATTTCTATGTTTTGGGTTTTTTTCAGCCCTGTATTGCTGTCATATAGTTAATCAGGGGGTGCTTCGTATTGGATTTCCCTGTGCCTGTTTCACATCTATCCTTTTCCAAAGGAGTTGCTAATTATCAGCACGTTATCAGCAGCATTTCATAAAATGACAGGTTGTTAATATCAGCCTGTATTATGGACCTATAAGAATAGAGCCCTTCATCAAAACACCATCAATGCATTACTGTCTTATTTCTTCTTATTGTGAGACCATTTTTATTCTCTGTGCCTGTGTGTAGGTCTCCCTGCGTCCAAAGCTAAGCTGGAATTGCAGAAGCACGTGGCTGGTCTGGATAATCAAGAGCAGGCCTCTGTGTTTGAGACCACCCTGGTGGGTATGACACCCCTATTATAACCTGTCAGAATCTGTCATTGGGTGTTATTCATAATGACAAATCTGTTAGCCTATGTGTTTTTACTAATTTGTTAGCATTTATTGAATTTTTTATCATTAATAGAGCGATGGTAGAGCGATGTCATCATGAAATGTTATTAGTATGTCCATGTTACGTCTCATAATACATGAATATGTTTAAAAAATGTTAATTTCTAGCTGATCATATCCTACCCAATTACTTAAAAGGAAGTAAAGTTCAGTCAAATCAAATATATACAGTTTTCACCCGAGTCCACGTGTAGTCAGCCAAGCTGAATTATCATGAGTGGGACATCTAAAAACCATGGTGGGGCAGGAGGTAACACATCCACATGGAAGGAAAAGGGAAAAAATAGGAAATTACAGGACAAGAAATCTGCAATCTGTCCAAAGCAGCCACATATTCAGGAGGGAATCAACTGGAGATCCACGTTTGCAGCAAATCAACAAAGATGTACCTGTTTAGGAAATCTGTCTGCTAATTTATCTCCACACAACATACAGCACATCTCTAAAATGCAATCAGTACAAAGTCAGGCAAACCCTCCTATGTTAAACAACGTCTTTTATAGCTTGCGTGGCATGTAATGCAGCAGTGCGTACAAAGTTTAGTTTCACTTCAGGTTTTTTTGCCAGTTGACTCTATAGGAGCATGTACAAATCACTGGGTTTAGTGGGGCATGATTGGTTGGTGGGGCATTGCCCCATCAAATGACCCCTTAACGCTGGTCCTGCAGTCAAGACATGTTTGGTGTCTGACGCTTGCTTTTTTTAGTTTTGTCTGAAAGTACAAGGGTAATATAGCTAACAGTTACCCACCGATATTTTATTGAGGTGTTAAGCAAGTTCATTTGAGATCACTTACGTGGTTTTTGACTAGCACATATCTATAAAAATGGAAAAACATGCAGACAACATTCAAGATGTCTTAAAGATGGAAAGATGCATGCAACATAGCTGAAATTAAATGATTGTATGCTGTAAGCTTTTATTACTTGTGAGCAGCGTTAGCCTTAAAGCTCCAGCGCAAAACTAAAGAAGCAGTCTTGGATGATCGACTGTGTTTGTGGGTTTGGGAAAGCTAGAAAGATTTTCAGAGTTTTTATGAATTGAATGATATTGATATTGCTCTTGCTGTGTACAACAATGATCACAAATCCTTTTTAATTTCATAAGCAACTCCTGTTAATTGCTGGCACTTTGTGAGGACAAATCTAAGCGGACGTTTGCACACAAACATTTCCTGCGTGGTTATTCTTGCCACCCTAAGCTGGGGTGTTGCTAGCAGCTGCATGTTTGTGGGATGTCAGTAAAGGCCCTTGTGCTCCAGCATGCCTCAGACAGGGCTCATGGTGGGAGGGGAGTGCATGTGTTTCCTTGAGCGGAGGGTGTGACTGTAGTCTACTGCAAACCTGTTACACCACTTCTGCATTCTTGAGTTAATGGTACATATCCTTACAGTTAAAGCTCTGATCAGAAATGCCCAGAAAGAGTTCCTTTCATCCAAAGGGAGGATAGTAAATGTTCTCAATGGAGCGGTAAATTCAATGATAAACCATGACTATTAGTGCTAGGCCTTCTGTTTGGACTAATAATACCTCTACGATAATGCTAATTTCTGCTAGCGTGTTTGCCAGATGCTTCATGTGCAATATGTAATATACATTTTGCACTTTAGTTTCTATTCTGTTTTTGATTTATTTTATATCTTCTAAGAAATTGACTTGTGCCAGTCATTCCAACAACAAGTACTGTTGCCATCTGGGGGGAAAAAACATTTTCAGAATTACCAAAATCTGAATAGATGAATAAATAAATGCGAAAGTTATGTTAGCATTGTTTTCTAAATCCGTATCAAAATCATGTCATATTGTGAAATTTTTTAATTGTCGCACCCCTGCTGGTCTTGTGGATTTGTAGATTTGAGGTAAAAAAGTTATAATATATGAAGACTACACTAAAGGTAATTCAAATAAATACTAAAAGATAGAGAGGTGTGTGTATATATGTGTGTGTGTGTGTGTGTGTACGTATATATATATATGTATATATATATATATATATATATATATATAATATGTATATGTATGTGTGTGTGTGTGTGTGTGTGTGTGTGTATTTTTTACATTATGAGTGTGTTATTACATACATGGTAGAATTACATACATGAACTAGAACGGAGTCCATGTAACTCATCAGATAGATCTGTTTCTGCATCAGTGTAATAGTTTTTGCATAGTGTTTAAAATCAGTACAACTGCTACATACAGAGGGCTGATTCTGAATCAACTCTCCAAGCCCTTTTTAATGAGGGCCCAGGTCTTAAAGATTTCACCAGTTTTTTAAATTTCAGCATAATTAAGTAGTTACGATGTAAACACAGTTATTATTCAGAGTGGTTTGATGTGAAATGCTCTGTTCTGACACTTACCAAGTCAAAATTGTTCACAGTGGTTGTGATGGGAACCAAACGTCCGAGGAGTTTAATGCGTCTTAAATCTTCCTTATTATTGGTTTGATTTCTGAGTCATTGTAAAACATTTCTTAAAACACACTGAATGCAGAAAAGTGCGAAGCCTAAGCAGTCCACAAAGAAAATGTTTTGTTTTGTTTTGTTTTGTCAGAATTCCCACTATTCCAGTATTGGTTGGAATTCTTCTTTAAAGGGATGGTTTAACGAAAGTGTTATATGCAGTAGTTATCAGGCACATAAGCATGGACTGAAGGCACAGCACACATTGTAAACTCACTGTACTGCTGTAGTTGGTCAGTGCCACCTAGTGGAGATGGAGTGAAGTGCTGTGCCTTATTTCTCTAGTCCTCAGCTCATTTCAGTTAAATTCAAAGTTGAGTCAAAGATAGTAGAGCAGGGAACCAAAAGTGTGCAGTGCATGAAGAGAACTGCTGCCTTTTTTTCATGATTTTAAAACATTTCTGTCATTAACAACCCTCTACTTTTTCTTTGTGTGTGTGTGTAGAAAGCTAGGCCGAAGTCTGATCAGGAGGAGAATGAGCTGATAGTGTCGTGTTTACGACGACTGTACGAAGAAAGACAGAAGGCACACACGCACACACATAACGGACAAGCAAAACAGGTATACGCAAAAAAAAGAAGTGACACTACAGCTCAGAAGTCTGACATCACTGTTTTCAATAAAATCAATTTTACATACATATATAAAATCATTCTAGTATGCCAGTCCTTTACAGGCTGTACGTTCTAAAATGACTCAGAAAGCTGCATAACATCTAGAATTAAGTTCTAATAAAATTAATATCCATTATGAGTTCATATTAAAATTCATATCCAATTTAATTTTAATTCTATGTTTATTAGAATGAAGTTTGATTCTTATGTACCGAAAAAGATTAAGAACTGGTGTGTGTGTGTGTGTGTGTGTGTGCGCATGTGTGTGTGTGTGTCTGTTTTAGGAATCTCCAGCAGTGGGTGAGGAAGTAAGTGCAGGTGCTGAGGGCAGCATGAGCAGCAGCCGTCTGCGACTGGAGCAGCTGAAAAGTCGAGCCAAAAGATCACTCACTGAGTCACTGGAGGGCATATGGAAGGTACAAATGCACCATCACATATACAAACACACACAGACACACACACACACACACGCTAATAACTATGTTGTGTGTGTGTCTGTTTCACAGAGCAACAGCCGGTCAAAGCCACAGAGAGAGAACAGTGAAGGAGACAGCACCTCCTCAAACTCAACTATCAACAGCAGTCATCAGGTCTGTTAACTGTTTGCACGTTTGTACAGTTGTATAGTAAACACCTCCAGTAAAGTCACATTTTGTTGATCTTCTAGGTGAAAATAAAACACAATCCTCTACAGGAATCACACTTGAATATGGCATTTTTCTGTATTGTTATTCCATCTCTATTTATTTGCTAAGTTTAATATATTGGAAAAAATAAAACAAAATATGAAACTTATGCACAGTCCACATTTTATGGTTTTTTTTTGTTTTTTTTCTGAAATGTGGTAAATTCACATGAAATGTGGTACATGATTGGTGGTATAAGCTTCCATTACTTATTAGCTACATTAGCCTCATAGCTCAGTTACAACACAAGCTAAAACACTAAACATTTCTTGGCTATCTTGTGTGTCTTTTCAGGATGTCCTGTTGGTGGAGCCTCCTTCCCCACCCCTCCTCATCTCCAGCCCACTCCGTTCCCATAATTCCACAGGGGACCTGAAGCGTCTGGAGGCCGGGGAGAACAGTCCTGACCCCCAGGCTCAAGGTTTCAGGAGGAGAGCGAGCACTATCAGTCACTCTCCATCTCTCTCAGTGTCCAGCCTGACTGTTCCCACCGAACGGCCCACAGCTGCCACCAAACCCAAACTCGTACGACACTACTCTGTCAGCACTGACTCGCCGCATCAGAGCAAGTGAGTGTGGGTGGCTGTGCTGGTTAGGGTTGTCATGATACCATAGGATTGACATCGATATTGATAGTTGGTGTAGTAGGTAGTAGGGAGCAGTAGGAGTATCACAAGGCTTGATAACTAAACGACATAGTGGCTAAGTTAAACCGATGCGTCATTACAGCTCACTTAACATGTCTAATTTTTGAAGTATACGAATACAAAACTCTTTAAATGTTAAATAAATCAAATAAGTAACAAAGTTATTTAAACCTTGCCTCATTCAGCATGTTCTGAAGCACAATAAAGGCTATCAGTTATCACAGTGTGTTCAAAGCAAATATAAAAACTGAAGTATCTGTCTTTGTCTGAGAAGCTAACACTCCGTATGTGGACACTTTTTAGCCCAGACCTGAAAACTCTCTATTGTTGAAAAGTGCAGAAACATATAATAAAGGAACAACACAAACAAATTGTATATTTGTAATAATATTGTGATAATATTATTTATAATGTCAAATAGTTAGTTGTTGCAGCCCTAATACCACTACAAATTAAAGATAGTAAAGTTAGCTGTTAGCTTAGTTAGCTAGCTCTCACAATTTCAAACAGTGCAGAGCACTTGACTCTAATTTTGCACTAGTGCTGTCTTGTTTTGTCACCATTTCTGTTGTACCAAAGCTATAATAAAGGAGGAGACAGGTCACTTGCGGGAGAATGAATAGGAGAGCTCGTAACATGATGGCTCGACGCTCTTTTTCAATAAAAAGAGCCAGTTGGCCTGCTGGTTACGCCACAAGCAGGAAAAGCCCCCCCCCTTGTTGTGGAGATCTGCGTAAGCTCAGTAGCTGGAACAGCTCAAGCCAAAATTTTATTTGAGGCGTTGCAAATTGAGATTTGTAAAATGTTACCAGTGATTTTAAATATGGTTTTGAAACATCAATCTGGCCTTCAGTTTTGAGTTTTTAGGTCTCTTCTCATTCAAAGACAAAGGAGTCTGGGACTGTTTTACAGAAACACCCTGTCTTTAGTCCCAAGTTAATATCTGACAAGGTCAATAAAAGATTGACAAATTGACATTACAGAAGCAAATCTTTTCTTAATTTAGGAACTTATCTTACAGCATCTTGTCTCAAATTAGGACATATTAACTTACTCAATCAAAGTCGGTAATCGGTTAGTCTGTTACCAAGCAACCAACCATATGTACACAGCTGAAACATAAACACAATCGAAATAAAAAAGAAATTAGGCAAGTCTATAGAGTTTATTTCTAGTTAGGATGCTTTTGTAATACTGTTTTCGTATCTGAAGTAAGGATAAGATTGAGTTACTGTTATTTTGTAATAGCTACTGTCCTAAATTAATTTCTTCTGAAGTTTTTATGGTGACTAAACAGGTAAGATTTCAGAAGTAGGATGTTTTTGTAATACAGCTCCTGGTCTCGTATGACTGGAAATAACTGCCTGGCAAAGTGGTTGGCAAGATGCCCACTGAGCGAGCAGACTTCCCTGTGATCACCTTAGTTTTGCTCATCGTTCACTTGTTACTATTATATTAGGAAAAAACGCACTTTCCACGCAAGTTTTTATGGCAGCCCTGCTGGTAAAGAGAGGAGAAGGAGTCATGCATTACTCAGGGCCTCTCAGAGAGTGTTTTGATAATTATTGCTGTCAGGACAAATGTTCTCACCCTGTTTATCCTCCACAAATGGCTCATTCTGTATCTTTCCTTCCTGCGCTGAGCTTTTGAGAAGCCATAAAATCTGCTGTAATAGAGATGCTCTCTGCCCTTTCACTTCCTGTCTCCTACACAGCCGCATCCTGTTTGGAAATCATCACTTCCTGTAGCCCATATTCCTGCAGTGCTCTATTACTCTTCCTGCACCCTCATTCTGTTCCTGTTGTTCCTCTTTCTCTCCAAGTTCTCTCATTCTCTTCATTACTTCACTTTTCTCCCTCCATTCAACGTTCCACCATCATCAGGCCGTCTCGTGTTGACGATGCACGCTGCCCTCCCTCTGCTTCTTCCTCTCACCTCTCCTCCTCTTCCTCTCCTATGTGCTCGAGGCTGATCAAGCCAAGAGTTCTGGCCATAGAGCAGCTCACGAGACCCCACAAACGAAGGTATTGTGTCTGTGTATGTGTGGCCCTTTGTTAAAAAACACTACTTCTGTTGGTTCCATGCCTGTTATACTGAAGTGATAGTTTGGTGAAAAACCCAGTTTTTTTAACAATTATCCCAAATGCAGTCAAGGCATGTTTGGTGTCTGAAGTGTGCACCTTTAGTTCTACACTGGAGCTTTGCCAGATAATGAGCCCCCATTAATCTATGCCGTTAAACCTCAGGTAATTCTGGCTGATGAAGAAGACAAAATAAGTTAAGTAACCAGTACTAATTAGGGGTCCAAGCATGTGTTGGAACCCTGTTGTAATTGTTAAGATTCTGCTTCTTTTCTTTACCTAAACGGATCATGCAGACCAAACTGTAAATCACACAGGGATGAAACTTGGTCAGTAAGTAGTAGTCCCTCCCGCTACTCAGGCAAGCGAGTTCATCCCCATTGACATAATAGTGGCAGAGTAGCAAAGCATTAAATGTTTTGGTCCATGTCTCTTTGGCCGTATGTCATAGAGATGAAATTCCTTTTCCCCTGACTAAGAACCATGTAGCTCTTCCTTCTTGATTTTAAAATAAGCTGCATAGTTAGCAAAATTGCAATTTTGTGAGTGCAATAAGCGACTGTTGGAATTTTGCTAGGGGGCGCTGTAACACACAAGAAATGTTACACAGCAAAAGATTGATCCTGGCTCGGGTTCTTTGAGATTAATGACGTGATGTCTGAAAAAACAAGCCAGACACCAAAGAATCAGACTTTGGCAGGTATTTGACAACCTTAGAACTGGCACCACAGAACTTAATATGTATCTACAAAACTTCACAATCATGTACTCTAGGGGAGTAGAGTAGTAGACAGCTTGGACTGTATTTTTACTTTATGTTCTCCTCCTAATAATACTTGTCAGCTTCATCAGATATATGTAAATAGGTTACAAGTACCAACAGAAGGGCTTATTAGTCAGAAATGATTGTTCGGCCTAGATTAACATATGAAAATACTGAATTCACATTTCAGCATCTTAGCGGTGTTGTTTACTTTATTCTCAGCATGCCATCTGCCATCCTCATGACTGGTGGAAAGGCCAGGTGGTACAAAAATGTACTCTTGTCATCCTTGGGGTTTGCTGGCATCTGTCTGTTGAGCAATTAAAGATTCTTTGTTTCTGTTGTCTTACTATGCATTTTGTGATGTTAAATGAGTGTAATTCATAATTTTTTTTTACACTACCAGAAGGCTCTCCTAGGCAGTTGCAAGTGTTAGTAAAATGTTAATAAATGGTCATACACCATTTGTGATGATGAAAAAACATATCAAACTGGAAAACTTAAAATCAGCAACTGCAAAATCGAAAACAACTTGATTTGGGAGCAGGGATGGTAACACAAAGAACGACAGATACAAAGGATGGTTTGGCAGGCCAGATATCTGAGAGTGGACCAGTCGAGGAATGTTACCAACTGTGCAACACCTGGTATGCTGTCCTAAAAAAAAGATTCCACGCAACCACAAGAATCACAGTAGTGTATGTTACCACTTGGCAGCATTATAGCAACATTTGTGGCAATCATGAGGATGATGGCAGAAACTTCTGAGAATGCCAAAGTAAACAGCATTGCTAAGATTTTAGAATGTGAATAGTATTTTAATCTATGAATGTATGCCAAATGATCATTTCTGACTAATTAGCCCTCTTAGTTGGTGATTTAATGATAGGAACTTATTAACAAATATCTGATGAAGCTGACAGGTATAACGCTGACTGATAGAGAAGGCAAAGTAAGATAAATAACCAATAAGATCTGAGGTGTAACAGTGTGGATGAAGCTTTAAAGGTCCAAGTTCATAGCTTTAAAGGGGAATTTCAACAGTTTTTCAAAAAAATTTGTCATAATTAAATGGTTAACATGTAAACAAAGTCATTCAGAGTGGTTTGGTGTGAAGAGTTTAATTCCTCTAAAAGTTCCCTCACATAAAGCTCTTACATTAAATGGTTAGGAATAAATTGCCCGATGCTTGAAACATTGTTTTGTGGTAGATTTGCATTAAGATATTGGCCTGTAGTCTAGTCTTGATGGGGAGGTACATGCAGTATGTTGTAAAATAGTCTCCAGAGAAAGTGTAGTTTTTCAGATTTAACACTATTTTACTATTATCAGCATCACATATAAGAACTCAGAATGCACATATAGATTCACTGGTCAGTTTGGATAATAAATAAAATGGCTATATTTGTGTTGTAGACATTGTAACCCTTGGTTCCATTCACCACAACTGTATGAGTCAGTAAGTTTATCTACAATAAATCATTTCACATCAAACCACTCTCAATAACATTGTTTATACCTCAACCACTGAATCATGCAGAAAGGATGAAAAATTGGTGGAATTCCCCTTTAAGACAAATCTTAGTGTTGGCTCAGTCACCTCTAGCCACATTCTTCTCTCTGCCTTTCTGTCACCTTCTCTCTTTATCCATCTCTCTCTCTCTCAGTCCATCAGGGCTGAGTGGACTGAGGGCCAGGCTATACTCCTCTTCCTCTGTTCCAAACTTCCTCAAGTTTCTGGCCCCTGTAGAGGAGCATGATGACTCCTCCCTCTCTCTGAGAAAGAGGTACCCTTCACTCTCTCTCTTTTACCATCATCTCTGTTACTCTTTCTCCTTCACACGTATGTCTCTCTTCTCTACTGTGGAGATATGGGGTGACATAGGGAACCACTAGAGGGCGCCTGATGACTTCTGAGTTGAGATGGATAATTTAGTGGTTCAGATGCATTTGTTGCATCTTCAGATGCAAGATTGTTTATAATCTTAAATAGATAGAAGTAATGTAAGTATTTAGGTAAACAGGAGATGCTAGTGGGTGGAGCAGCATGTCATAAGAGATTCAACTTGTTTGAGACATAACAGTAGTGAATAAACAAGCATATTGTATTGGAGGAGCAGCAAGAGACCACTAGAGAGCACGTGAGGATTTCTGAATTGAGATGGATGATTTGGTGGTTCATATTCATTTGTCTGGGGTATATTTGACTAGTTATTAAATACACTGACTGTGTGTTTGTGTGTAGTGATGTCGCAGCCCTGTCAAGTCCTGGAGCGATGTGTGTGGTGGGGGAGGACAGTCCACTACGCAATCGCAGACACTCGTGGAGACAGCAGATCTTCCTCAGAGTTGCAACGCCACAGAAGGGCTCTGATACAGCAGGTAATGCCTACAAATCTACCATGAATACAACACACCTGCGCAAACACACACAGTACACACACCCTCATGGTGCAACTGACAATTGCTTCCATAATCAATTAATCTATGTTTTTTGTTTCATCAACTAATCAAAATATTCAGTTGCCTTTGTTTGCATTACTGTCACATTTATTTGTTCTTATACTTCCATACTGTAGAATCATAAAAATGACAAATGTCCCATGTCAATAAACTATCTGCTGAATCAAAAATAAAACTGAATAGAAGAAATTAGAGATAAAATAAAGCTTTTAATTGTTTGTTGAAGTTTCCAAATATTTAATATAGAAATAAAGAAGGTTATATTACTTCATTTATCATTTACTTGCTATTCTTATTTTTCAACTTTATAGCGCCTGTTAAATCGTATATCTTTTTCTCATTTGTATCACCGTTTATATGATCCTGAGTGGGCTGCCTTGCAATGGCTTCTAATACATCATTGGTTAAAGGTTTCTGCTTTAAACTCTGCTGCCCTTTTTACCCTATCCACCTTATTCCCGCGCCCCATGATGCTTTGAGTGACTTTTGGACAGAACAGACAATACAACATACTAACAAGATAAAAATGTGGAAGGAAATAAAAAATCTAGTTAATCTTCATTGTTGGCATCCTCAAATGTGTGCCAGTGTTAGTAATCAATCTGTCAACAGGAACCTGAACCTTCGTGAGGAAAACTCTTTAGCCAGAAAATCCTATTTACAGCCTGCACCAGGTCCTGATGCCAATCACGTCATTTCATTTCAACTCTTTTATTTTGTTTTACGCTGAGAGGCAGAGAACCATAAAACAGTGTCATGACATAGCAGTGTTTAAAGTAGAAATCTCTCTCTCTTTTTTTTAATCAGCACTATAATAATGTTCTTTGTACGTTCACCATGGTTAGTTGGCATCAAGCTAATGGAGTTAGCTCAGTGCTGTATTGGATTTAGATGTTGGCTCTAGTTGAAATACAGATAACAGATATAGATAACAGGCATACAGGTACCATTCTTTACTTTCTATGTCTTAATATTGAAGTAACTCCTTCTTTCAAAGCTTGAACTTGAAGTCTGTCTTTTATTATTGTAGCTTTAGCCTGTTAGCTTTCTGCTACATGCGCAGCCTGCTGTAGTGAGGACAGAATATATCCACTTATTAAAAGAATATAAATTGTAAACCAGTGACAGAGAGTCTGTAAACCGCAATCAGTGATGTTCAGGTGGCAGTTTGTCTTCTTGTTTTGACAGATTTCATCACACTGACAGTTGCATCACCATTCCTGCGGTGATTTCATCTTCACTTGGCTGTGCCGACAGCCGCAGACATTTAATGAGACAAAACAATAACTTAAAAATTAAGCACAATTTCTTTGACTTAAACTAGTAACGAACGACACTTCGGTTCTCCCACCAGGGTTTTCAGCTATAATTTCGAAATGCACTGGTCATGTGAAACATAAGGTAGATATGCAAAACTAAGCTCCAAAAACAGCAGTTTTAGAATGCATTCTTTCTATGATCTCTCAAGAACCAACTCCTTTGGTTCTACTAAACTACTGAAATCTTTAATTGACCACTTGTGTTGACACTGACAAAATTGTCCTAAAGAGACCTAATTTCTTAATAAGCTCACCAGTTAGCTTCCATCAGCACCACCCAGACAGCCCCAATGTCTGTTCATGGTAGCTATTTTCAGGTGGACCCTTCACAAACTGCAACGTGATATATTCATTATTTGTAATCTTAAATAAGTTGACTAACATAAATATTTCAGTAAACGTTAGATGTTACTGGGTGGAGTAGCATGCATTGAGAGAATTGACCTATTTGAGGTATAAAAATAGCGAATAAACAAGCAAATTATATTGTCATATTTTAAATTGAAAGGAATTTTCTCGTGGGGGGTATTTTGTTTCGCATTGCCCTAGTTACTCCACTGACTACAATCCATAATTTTGATAGACTCTAAACAGGTTTAAATACAAAAAGACGTTATTACTGGAGGGAGATCCAAAACTGATGAGGAGACGCAGAGAAAGCTGGTTGGGAAGGCTGCCAAGAGGCCTATGGCAATATTAAAGGAGCTAAGAAATGTGTGGCATGTGATAACAATCTCTCTTATTCTCCATATATCTGGGATATGGGTCAGAGTGCAAAAAAATCCAATTACCAATAAGTCAAGATGATGAAGACTGACCACTGTCATACACACTTATGTAACCAGATTGTTATAGGTTTTTTATGTTTCTGACTATTTTACTTCAATTTATCGGTTGCATTTCCAAATTACAGGTGGAAAAATGTCCAACATGCTTTATCTTGGTTTCATTTCTTTACGTCACAAGACCCTGCCATTTTTACAGGGGCGTGTAGGCTTTTAATGTCCACTGTATGTACCCAAAGTCTCGTTATATTCGGTGACGTATGTGTGGCCGTACAACAATATATAAAATCAGGTCAATGACATCACTGCGCAACGAGTGTGGGTGTTATTGGGCGTTAGGTCAGATCAGATTTCTATTACTGAATTAAATTAAAGACCCGAACTACACATTCATACTAGATGATGTGGCTTAAAGTATAAACAAAGAAGAGCAGCCGATCTCAAGTCTTAAAATAGACAAATGCTAAGTACCTATTTTTTACCTCAGCTATCTAAGCTAAGAGATGTGACAGTATAGTATATCATATTATATTGAACTTTATCACACCATATCAGTTTGTAGATAGATAGTGATAGAAATCTTAATGGAATGTTTTCTGATGTTGACAATGGCAGATCAGGAGTAGAGACAGTAGTGTGTGGACATCAAAAACCACCCTTAGTTTATTTTATTCCCTATTAAAACAGCTATAAAGTGCAGGTTTTTCATTTTATAGCATCAGGGGAAATAGCAGGAAATTACTCAACTAAATATATAGTGTATCCACTCTTTGCCTTTTACAGCTTTGCTTCTTTTCAGGAGACTCGCTTTCAGTTTTTCATAGAAAAGTTCAGTCTTAGAACTTCATTATTTCATTATTACAGTCTTAGTAATCCCAAACAGGTTCAGTGATTCTGAGAATATCAGCAGCCTGTTTTCTTCTTTTTCTCTATTTTCTTTTCTACAGCTACACATCCATTCAGACCCATAGTGTCTTCTCACGGTGGAAAGATGGACAGAAACACCTGTGGATGTTTTCAGATCTGAATCAAGAGTGGAGCTTGATTTTCTGTCAAAGATGAAAGATTTAAGTGCTGTTTATCTGATGGGGACAGTGTTGTGTCTCCCAGGTCTTGCAGGTGGTTGTTGGGAATCTCATTTTCTCAGTAGCTTTCAATCATTTTTTGAACTGCAGATTTGAAAGCTATGGTTTTTCACTTACTGTCATTTGACTTTCTCCTTCATTTGTCAAGTGCTTTATCTCATATCTAATCTCCTCAGAAATATCTTCTAAAACGTGTACGTAATGGCCTTGATGATCAACAGATTGTGGCCCTTAGAACCAACACAAAGCACCCACACAGGTTAAGGCAGTCAGTTTGCAAAAGGTTTGGTAACTGAAATGGCATGTACCGAAACAAGACCTTGTTTGCTTGTAGGTGTGTCAGAGGCCGGACAAATTCCATTATCAGATATGTATTTAACCGTGTCAGTGACCTGAGCCGTTCAGCATTAAGTAAACATGCCAACGTTGCTGTTCTGCATTCTCATTACCTTATCTTTCCATCTTTTAAGCCTTTTAAAAACAGTATTAACACTTGTCCTTAAAGCATTTTAGCAAAACAGTGGAAAACAAAGTAAACCTGAACTCTTACTTGTTTAAATAAAAAGGAGAGTTTTTCTGGCATAAAAGCCAAATGAAGTGTCATTCATCACTTTTAACTTCAAGAACCTGCCGCTTCAGTTTTGTGTGGTTTATCATAGCTTTTCCTGTGGCCTCCCACTCTCTCTCTCACTCTCACTCCTGCTCTCTCTCTTGCTCTTTCACTCTGAGTATATGGGTTTTTGTAGTTTCTCTCACCCTGCCTGTAACCCGCTAACCTTTTTGTGACTTCCAGGTTACGATGTGTTTGCTGAAGGACGAGTCCTTAGCAGAAACAACAAGCTATCAAATGTCTGTAAAAGCATTATTTACACACAAACAGAGGCAGAGAATGCCTAAGCCTGTTTCTAACGAAAATCAAACAGTGTTCCTTGCTATTGTTTTCTTTTCTAAAACTTCCTACTAAGGAATTTCGGCCGAACGTTAGTAAGGCTGTATTTATGCAGTGTGCATTCCAGCAAGTAAACTTAGCTAGTATAGTGAGTGATGGCATCATTTGTTCAAGCTGTGATTAGGCCTGAATGTCCAGTACCATTAATACATCACTGTCATAAATAAAATGCCACGGTGTCAAAAACATCTTTTTTCTACTTCATCTGAAAGCAGCAGCTGCCCTTTATTGTGCAAACCTTTAATCACAAATGAAGAAATAAAAATCATAAGCTTTTGAAAGCTTGCACATTGTCGCAGTCATATCAAAACCTCGTTACTCAGGTTTTTTTTTTTCTTTTTTTAATTTTAAACATCATTTAAAAATGTAAACTGTTTTTGTTATAAATGGAGAAATATAAATCTTTCCAAAACTATACATTATTTTAAATTAACATGTCGTAACTCTTATGTTAAAACCTTTTAATAGCTTTTATTATATTTTTATAAGACAAAAATCTAAAATAAATAAATAAACAAGCTCGTTAAAGCTAGCATGTTGTCAGCTATGTCAAAACCTCTGAACTCTTATTTAGTTTATTTGTTTGTTTGTTTTTGCATCATTTGATGACACCAGCAGCCCTTTACTTTACCTTAAAATAGCTGAAGATTACTTGGAGCGAAAACCTCTTACATGATTGTACATGTTAATCATTTACCCTCTTCTGCTATACATTTCATTTCAGAGATATGAAGTTTTGGTACAGCAGTGACAATATATTAAGGATTCATCTCTTCCTGTA